AATGCATGTTTGTTTATGGGCAGAATGTGTAATAGACAATAGCCCTCAGAGTTATAAAGAGGTGCAATTAGAACATTTGAGAGCTGCTTTTGCGAAGTTGGATGACCTTAAAGCAGATGTTCAAGATCCTTTGGAGGAATTCAACTTGGGTAGTGAGGCCTATAAGAGGCCAATCTATGTAAATGCTATTTTATCTAATGAAAGTAAAGGCAAGTTGGTTGGCTTCTTGTTTGAGTATGTGGATTGCTTTGCTTGGAGTTATGAAATGCCTGGTTTGGATAGGACATTAGTAGAACATAGGCTGCCAATAAAAAATAATTTCACTCCACATAAACAACCCCCAATGAGAAAAACTAATGAAATAACTCTGTCAATCAAAGAAGAAATTGAGAGGCTTTTAAAGGCAAGTTTTATTAGGACAACCAGATATGTGGAATGGTTGTCAAATATTGTGCCTGTCATGAAGAAAAATGGAAAATTGAGAGTCTGCATAGATTTTAAGAATTTAAATCTAGCAACTCCAAAAGATGAGTATCCTATGTCAGTGGCTGATTTGCTAGTTGATTTAGCAGCCAAAAGCATGGTCTTATCATTCATGGATGGGCATGCTGGATATAACCAAATTTTCATCAATCCAGATGACATTCATAAAACTGCATTCAGGTGTCCTGGGCCTATAGGTACATTTGAATGGGTGGTCATGCCTTTTGGTTTGAAAAATGCTGGAGCCACCTATCGAAGGGTAATGAATCTTATATTTCATGACTTGATAGGAAAGTTTTTAGAAGTATTTATTGATGATGTGGCTGTCAAATCTGACACATTTGAAGAGCATTTGAACTATTTAAAGTAGACATTTCAAAAGATGAGAAGCCACAAGTTAAAAATGAACCCTCTAAAGTGTGCCTTTGAGGTAACAACTGGGAAGTTTTTAGGCTTTTTAGTGCATCACAAAGGAATAGAGATAGATGCTAACAAAGCCCCAGGCTATATTGGCAGCTAAACCCCCAAGCAATAAGAAAGAATTGCAAAAGATTCATAGCCAATTTAGCCAGGAAGACTTTGGTGTTTTCTTCTTTGGTAAAGACAAAGTTAGATGGTGAGTTTAAATGGGAGGAATGTCATCAAAAGGCTTTTGATCTGATCAAGAAATATTTGACCAATCCTCTAATACTTATGCCACCTATTTATGGAAAGCCTTTGAAGCTTTGCATTTCAACATGTGACTGGTCGATTGGATGTCTATCGGCCCAGGAAAATGATATGGGTCATGAGCAAGCTATTTATTACTTGAGTAGAAGGTTGAATGATGCTGAAACTAGGTACACTTCTGTCGAAAAGTTATGTTTGGCTTTATATTTTACTCCCATAGAACTTAGACATTACATGCTCCCTTCAGAAGTGTTTGTTGTGGCACAAACTGATGTAATAAAATATATGTTGTCTAGACCTGTTTTGAGAGGCAGGCAAGGTAAATGGGTATTGGCCTTAATTGAATACTTCTTTAAGTATGTGCCACAGAAAGTTGCAAAGGGACAGGCCTTAGCAGATTTTTTGGCCAAGCATCCATGCTTGCCTGTTGAACCAGATTTGTTTGAGGTTCATGTGATAGATATTGAGCCTTGGAGGTTAATGTTTGATGGATCTAAAACAGATGAGGGAGTTAGAGCTGGTATTGTCTTGATTGCTCCTAGTCAATTGATGTATCAGGTTGCTTATCAGTTGGATGAGCAACATGTGCAGTCTTGTAATCAAGCTGAGTATGAGGCTTTGATAATTGGACTCGAGTTGGCCATAGAATTCAAGATTCGAAGGCTGCAAGTTTTTGGTGACTCTCAATTAGTCATCAAGCAAATGGTAGGAGAATTCAAATGTGTGAACAAAACATTGGAAGAGTATTTAATTGAGGCAGAGTAGTTAACAAACTTTTTCGACCATGTGTCTTTCACACACATGTATAGAATAGAGAATAAAGAAGTCAATGAGATGGCTCAAGCAGCATCAGGGTTGAGAATTCCTAAAGGAGCCCAAGAAAGGATCATAAGAATCCAAAAGAGAAACTTTCTGACTTTTAAGGACAAGCATAGAGATTTCTTACCAATAATGACAATTGAGAGTGATTGGAGGTATTCTTTGATTAAATACTTGACCAACCCTAGTGATGTTTGTAATAGACAAGTAAAATACCAAGCTTTAAATTATGTCATAATGGAGGATGATTTGTTTAGAAAAGCACATGATGGGTTGACCTTATTATGCATAGGCCAAGAAGATCAAATGAAAGCAATGGCAGAAGCACATGCGGGCATATATGGAGCCCATCAAGCTAGGCATAAGATGAGATGGTTGATTAGCAGATATGGATACTTTTGGCCATCCATAAGAAAAGATTGTAACATGTATGCAAAAGGGTGTCAAAGTTGCCAGAAACATGGAAGTGTCCAAAGGGTCCAAGCCATAAGCTTGAATTCAATAGTAAAGCCTTGGCCTTTCAAAGGTTGGGTAATGGATTTGATAGGACAAATATTCCCAGCCTCATCAAAGGCTCATTCATATTTGTTGGTGGGAACAGATTATTTTACCAAGTGGGTAGAAGCTATCCCATTGAAAGTTGCCACACAGTCTCAGGCAAGGTTTTGAAAAGCGGCTATGGTCGTCCTAATGGTTGCGGTGACGCGTTAGTGGTTGCGGGGTGTAAAGACCGTAACGTAACGATTGCAGTAACCTGAACCGTATTTTTTATTTTTTATTTTTCATACAATTTGAAGAAAACTTACCGATATGCATATGTTTTTTCTTTTTCAGAACCACATTTATTAGGATTTAAAATAAATTTTGATTAATTTTTGTTAATTTGTAAGTGTAATCCAATATATTTTATATTTTTAAATCACTATAAAAGGAAACATTTTACTTCAATAGTTAATGATTTTAAGAATAATTGATTTTAAATGTCTACAAATTTTTTACCAATAATTGAACTAATTGAATAAAAAATATATACAATTATTAAACGAAATGATTATAAAATAAAAATTGTGCCATAAATTTTTAAAAAAATACAAATAAAAAATTTCATATAAGATTTTTTTTTTTTTTTTGGACTTGGATCACTTGAGTATTTGTTCTTTTTTGTATGTTTTTGTTTTTTTTTTTTAGGAAAAGGAAACTATTCAGAATATTGTAAAATGGTGCAATGGTATCTAACGGACCATTACGATTGTTACGTAATAGGCCGTTACACATGTGAATTTCCATCATACCGCTATAGCGGCCATAACGGGTGGCGGTAACCACCACAACCGTTACATAATGGCGGTACGTAACAGTTGCGGACGCTTTTTAAAACCCTCAGGTTATTGAGTTCCTTAAAAAGAATGTGATCCATAGATTTGGTTTGCCTCAAACCATTACTGTTGATCAAGGGACCATGTTCAATGGGGATGAAATAAAAGAGTTTGCCACAAAGTATGGCATTTAGAAAACTCTTCCCCCTATTATGCTTAAGCAAATGGGCAAGCTGAGGCAACAAACAAAATTGTAAAGAATACTTTGGAGAGAATAATTGAGAACAATCCTAGAGATTGGCACAATCTTTGTCTGAGGCATTGTGGGCTTATAGGAATTCTAGGAGAAACAGTATAGGAAAAACCCCATATGAGTTGGTGTATGGGCATGATGTTGTTCTTCCATTACGGTAAGATCCAATCGATTGGCTCAACAGTTAAACATGGATGAATATAATGAAGCCATGACAATTGCGTTACAAGATTTGGAAGAGAAAAGGATTTCTGCTTTCAATCACTTAATTGCACAAAAGAAGAAGGTAGAAAGGAGTTATAACAAGAAAGTAAAGCATAAAATGTTCTCTAAGGGAGAATTAGTTTGGAAAACTATTTTGCCTCTTGGAACAAAAAGCTCAGAATATGGAAAATGGTCTCCTAATTGGGAAGGACCTTTCAAGATATTCAAGGTCTTAAAAGGAGGGGCATATCACCTGGCATCTTTGGAAGGGGAGCCACATAAAAGAATAATCAATGGAAAATATTTAAAGAAATATTATCCTACCATGTGGGAAAGCATGAGATAAAATAACCCAACATATTCATTCATATAAATCAAGTGTGTACAGCTAGTGTTGCAACGCAAAAGTAAAAACAAAGTTACAAAAATTTTAGTCTTTTTGAAAATATAAGATAAAATTGTTCCAGGCTTGTAGCACACTTCTATGCTTTGCTTTGCTTTGTTGGAGATTGGCCTGGGCAGATTTGATGCTGGTAGGACCATTTTCTGCTTGAGTTAATAAATCTTGCATATTGGCTTTGATTTTGGACTGTTCTTGTTTGAGGAGGGCTCTTTCAGCTGTGACTTGTGCTAATTGAGCCTCCAAATGAGCTTCTTTTGCTAAGAGTAGGTTGTCTTGAGTAATGGTGTCTTGGAAGGCTTGAGAAGCACCAGTCAGGAAAGCAGCCACTGATTTCAGTTGATCAATTTGAGCTATGTTGGCTTCAGTTTCAACATGATGCTGGTTGATGGCTGCTATGTCTTGAGGAAGGGCAGTCAAGAAATCTTGAAAGACTTGTATTTGATCTGAGTCAAAAAGCTTTGGCAAAACAACTGAGAAGCTCTGCAAATCTCTGCAAACCTTTTAAAGTTCTGCAAAGACTGAGATCCAGTTAAAGTTTGAGTAGCTTCAAAACAACTGAGAAGCTCTGCAAATCTTGTGAGAGCCAGAACATCAAATGAGAGTTCTAGGAGCTGGAACAACTGATTGACCATGTGTTGTTCGTCTTGAGAAAGTTGTTTGAGCTTTTCCTCAAGGGTCAGATTGGTGAGGGATTGTTGAAGATTGGAGGCTTCCATCAGTAAAGTCTCAAAGGTGGTCTTAAAAGGAGGAGGGGATGAAGTTGTGACTGGAGTTGATTCGACTTGAATGGACAGGCCAAGGTTAATCAATTGAAGAGAATAGTTATTTGCTGTTGCAAGTCAAGAAAAGTTACCTCCATAAGAAGGAGCCCTGTTTGGGAAGAAGTTGATTTAGCTCCTTGAGGAGGACTATGAGGTGGAGTTGTTTGCACACCCATTTCAGCAGTGGAAGGAGTATGGAATGTACCTCCAACCTGTCAAAATTCAAAGTTTAGCCATATGAAGATCTAATCACAGATGTCACTTGTTTTGAGAAGATTTACCTCCTGGTGAGGATTAGCAAAAGGAGTCACTGACTACCAAGCCAGTAACATCAGTGGCAATGGTGGATGGTAATGTTGTAGTTTCTGAAGAAGGAAATGTTGTTTGTCTCAACAGTAGCAAAAGGAAGAATTATAGGCCTAGGTGGTTGTAAGGAAGATGCCAAGAGTGGGTCAACAGAAGGAACTGTGTCATTTTGCAAGGCATCATTTGGGAAAGGTATAGGCATAGACTGTGAAGGGCCAGAAGTGGAAGCATGGCTGTGTTTGGGTTTGGTTCATCCCAGGAGAAGTCATATGGATAGGTTGTTGATTCTCTGGAGAATTGGTTTCCAAATCAACAGGGGTTTCTCCAAGTTGATCTTCTCTAGTTGTAGGTGCATTGTCTTCCTTATCACTCTCTGACTCACCCATAATGTCATCTATTCTTAGGAAGTCAAAGATTTCATTTGAGCCTGGGATAGCACCTCCGACAGGGAAAGCAAGGAGATCCCCAAGAACTATGTCAGGAGGGATCCCAGCCCCAGCAAATAGAAGGAGATGGTAGTTTCTCCTTAGCAAGCTCGGGAGATGATTTGGCCAGGACTTCTTGGTCATCTAAGCTGGCGGAAGGGTAGATGAGCCTTTTCCTTTTTATTTGTCAAGGTAGGGAGATGATAGTTAAAATTAAACAGTTTCATGTCTAGTCAAGAAAATTTGGAAAATGTCAGGAAGAGTTGAGGTAAGAAACCGGTATTGTACTTCAAAAGTCCTCACTGGACTCTGAATAGTAGGTTTTTGAGCTGAGAAGCCAAAGATTTGGCCAATAGGCATGTCCCAATCTGAAGAAGATGAAGAGGAGGGATATGGGTAAATGTTGCAGAAGTAGAAGCTGAAGTGATCAAATAATTCTTGATTGGTGGCAAGGATGAGTTCAACATCTTCCTTTACTTTAAATTGATTTCTTAATTCCACATAGTCAGGAATAGTGGGATGAAAGTAAGGGCAAGGTAAGACTTGAATTAACCGAAATTGCCTAGCCCATTGACATGGGTTATAACTTTCAAAACTGCAATTTGATAGTCTATTGTTGGCAATTGAACCCCCATCTTAAATATACCTAGAAGTGAGAACTTGAGGCCAAAAGGATTTTTGTTTGTTTTTCCATGTATCATCCAAAGTTTGAGGGTCAGCATGAATGTATGTGAGAGTGGAGGATCTGAAGTAGAAATCATGAAAAGGTATAAATAAAGCTGTCTCTCTGTCGACAGGGAGTCCATGGAAAAGAGAAAAGTCTCTAGTGAAGGACATGTCAGTTGAGGGTCGAAAAGAGAGGAAATGTTTAGCATACAAAAATACTAGAGATCTCAACAGTTTTACCAAAATTTCTACCAAATGTCTCACATGGGTGTGGGACCCACACCATCTGAGTCCTACACTCATGTGAGACATTTGGTAAAAATTTTAGTAGAACTTTTGAGACCTCTAGCATTACTCATTTAGCATAACACCCACAAGGAGAAGAGTATGGTGTGTGTTTGGAAGGCCTGACTTCAGAAAAGTATGCATAAAGCCAGGCCTGAAAGAGCCGGACAGGACCACCACAGTTGACATCTATTTCTTTGGTGGCTAAGGTACAGAGGCCTCTATATAATGTGGCCAACAAAAATGGAGCAAAAACTAGTTCAATGCCTTCTTGAATACAAATAGCAAGAGGCAAGTATTTGTGAGAATATAGAATATATTGTGTTTTTTCAATATGATCGTGATTGTATAAATTAGAATCCTATTAGAGACATAATTGTATTTTCCTTTTTGGTTTAGGATTTAGGACTATATAATCTAAGGTCTGATTGTAATCTTTGATACAATTGAATCTAAGAAAAGCTTTCAAGAATCTTACATGGTATTAGAGCCATCACTGGAACCCTAGAAATTGTCTTCCTCTTCAGTCTCTGTGTGAGTTGTGGGTCATCTTCTCCCTTGATCAAATCTAGTTCTCGAAGCTCTCTGATCAAAGTTCTCTAATCGATCAAAGTTCCCTTGACCTTGGCGAGAACCAGATCACCGAGACGCAACTCACTCTTCCCCTTCGCTCCTTTCGCTCCACGTTTACGCATTGGAGCCATTGACGCTACAAAACCCTAGCGGGCCCACCAACCACGTCATAATTGTCGTCTTCTTCTTCGTGAGGAGAGCGATCAGAGTCGCAATCGTACCGAACCAAAAAAACGGAAGAAAACTCAAACAAACCCATCTGGTCCGCAACTTCTCTCGCTGGTTTGTAACCTTTTGGCTTCAATTTCCCTCTTTCTTGACTTTGGCTTCAATCTCTCTCTCTCTCTTCTCTGATTTGGTTCTCTCGGCTTCAGACTGGTTCTTTCGGCTTCAAAACTCTAGTTAATATTTGTGGGTCAGGGTAAAAAAAAAAAAAAACTGGTTATTATATTTTACATTTAGACCTAACACTTTTCTGATTATTACACTATGGTTTTAGATTTATTGGCTTTACGCCATCAAATTTCTGTGTATTACCCTTCGACCCCTAGTTTGGCTATTTTGATGAATATAGGGTTTATTACACTTTAACCTCTCAGTTTTTTGGTTATTACGATATCTCTGGTTTTTAATGAGCATGCCTTCTGCCATCAGAAGGGCTATGGGAAGTACCACTGTCCCAAGAAAGGACGTCAGCCTGCCTCATTTTTTCAGCAATCTCAGAACCAATTCTGGGCTCCTCCCACTGCGTATGTTACATTTGCTCCGACTCCCGATCCTGACTTGGCTTCCTTGACTGCTCAGATTAGTCAACTTCAACATATATTGTCTACCTCCCAGTCATCTCTATCTGCATCCGTTGTTTCATCTCTTCATTCAGGTTTGCTTGGGTCTTTTTCAAGTATCTCTTCGTTTGTCTGGCTTTTTGACTCTGGTATCTCTCATCATATGACTCCTTATCTCTCTTTACTTCAGAATTATACTCCCCCTCCCTTCCCTATTACTGTTAATGTTGCTAATGGGTCTGGTATGTCAGTTATATCTGTTGGGTCTGTCCTACCGTCTGCTATGTCTATTCCATCTGTCTTATATGTTCCTCAGTTATCTGTCAATTTATTATCTATTAGTCAACTTGATGCCTCTGGTTTTGATGTTATCTTTTCTTCTTCTATCTGTTCTGTTCTGTGCAGGATCAGATGTCCAAGCAGCAGATTGGGACTGGCCGTAGAGTTGGAGACCTCTATGTGGTGGAGAGCTTGCATCTGCCTATGACTACCTCTCCGACTGTCTTTTCTTCTTTTCAGTTAGATTCTCTGTCTAGTCCTTTCTATTTGTGGCATTCCAGATTAGGGCATTTGTCTGCTGACTGCTTACGGTCTTTAGCTCAGTCAGGTATATTGGGTAAAGTTTTCCCTAGTCAACTTACCGAGTGTCAGGAGTATAAACTTGCCAAAATGACAGCCTTACCTTTCCATAACAATACTTCTATATCTGCTACACCGTTTTCTTTTGTTTATATTGATGTCTAGGGCATTTCTCCTGTTCTCACCAAGAGGGGTTCTGCATACTATGTGTCATTTGTTGATGATTGCACCCGTTACACTTGGGTTTATCTTATGACTCATAAGTCTGACTTCTACCAGATATATTGTACCTTTCAGTCTATGATCACTACACAGTTTGGGGCCACAATTAAAATACTCCAGTCTGATTTGGGTGGAGAATACTTTAAAACTGAATTTTGTGAGTATTTGGCCAAATTAGGCACCATTCACCAAACCTCATGTACTGATACCCTTGTCCAAAATGGTCGTGTTGAGCGTAAACACCATCATCTCCTTGAGACAGCTCGATCTCTTCTTCTTTCTGCCTCTGTTCCGACACTATTCTGGGGTAAGGCAATTCTTACCGCTGCTTTCCTCCTTAATCACAAGCCAACTTCCTTACTCTCCGGTCAATCCCCTTATAAGGCTCTGTATTCCCAACCTCCCTATTATCCCTCCTGCGTGTCTTTGTGTCTGCTTGTTTTGTCTTCCTTTCCCGTAAAGATAGGACCAAACTCAGTGCCCGGTCTGTCTTATGTGTATTTTTGGGTTACACTCTTACTCAGAAAGGCTACCGTCGTTACAATCCTGTATCCTGTCGCCTTTGTGTCTCCCGTCATATTGTCTTTCTCGAATATCTGTCTTACTTTCAGCTTCCCCCTCTCACTGCTCCAGTTTCCAAAGAGGATTTGGTTCACATTGACCCATTTCCTTCTGAGGTCTCGTCTGATGAGTATATCTCCATTGTTCCCCCTGAGCTTGTTCCGTCTGCTCGTCCTACACCTCTAGCTGCTTCTCCTCCTTCGGCTTCTTCTCCTTCCCCGTTGTTAGTTGATTCTCATTGCAAGGCTCCTCCTCTACCGGTTGTCTCTACCCCTGCTTCTGACGACTCTGATCCTACTGCACACCGATATCCTCCTCGAGCACGTCATCCTCCAAATAGGTTGGGTTGGTCTAATACTTGTTTTTCTGCTTTCTATCATACCTTTTTGTCTGCTATTCACTCTTTTGTAGAACCTTTGTATTACAAGGAGGCCTGTCAGGATCCTCATTGGGTTCAAGCTATGGAAGATGAGTTGTCTACTTTACAAAAAACTAGTACTTGGGAGTTGGTTCCTTTGCCTGTTGGTAAGAAACTGGTTGGTTGCAAATGGATATACAAAGTCAAGACTCATTCTGATGGTTCTCTTGAGCGTTACAAAGCTCATCTGGTTGCTAAAAATTTTTCTCAGGAGTATGGTATTGACTATGAGAAGACATTTGCTCCTGTTACCAAAATGACTACTGTCCGTACTTTGATCCCTGTTGCTGCTGTTCATTCTTGGCCTCTTTATCAGATGGATGTTAAGAATGCTTTTCTTAATGACCATCTCATTGAGGAAGTTTATATGCATTCTCCCCCTGGCCTTCACC